GATACGTCAAACTCGAGAAAACAATAGAACTCCTTTCCATAACAATACTTTTTCATTTGCATGACACTACATGTCAAATTCGTACTGGACTAGCCCATACCACTACTATCTTTAATTGTCCGTAAGTTTTTTATTCCGCTAACTGAGGGGACATTTCTCTCATACATTACAGTTACGAGTTAATAACCAGTAATCATTTAACTAAGGTTCGATCGATATATCATCATGATTTTATTACTTTGTTACAGATTATTTTACAAAGTAAAAACAGGCTTTTTTAGCTTGGGTGCTTTGGTTTCCCAGTACAGACGGCGTGATATTCTCTAGAGAACTGTTTTATCCATTTAAATGTCATTCATTTATATACACGCGACTATTTGAAAATCTGAGAGCAAAAATTCTCAAGAGTATCAACACAGATCCGATACAGGAGAAACTCGCCCGGCTCGAGGAATTTTGTTCCAGTGTATACGATGTTCCATATGTATAGATTATTTCATAGAAAGTGCAACGTACGGAATTTTATTCACGAGGTGCAAAACTTTGGAATTCTACTATGGACGGTGATTGGTTGTATCGCTTTTTTTACATGTGAAAATATTGCACATATAGAATTCTATTTTCTAGGTTTATTGCCCAAAATTCTCGCTACATGTTCAATAAAAACTAATTCAAAATAAGAGACTTATTTCTCCTTGTAAATTAACAGTTTACGGCCACAAAGAATCGAATTCTTGGTTACATCAGGGTTTGGTCCTAAGGTGTCCAAGTTGTATTAGGTTGAAGGAAACCTGAAAATTCTAACTTACTAACATAGAAAAACACCAACGGAGATAATAATAAACCATAAAGGAACAAGGATGGTTAAGGATGGAGAAGAATAACCCGGATAACGAACGACGAACTTGAAACTTTGGGCTAAACTGTTGAAGATGCGCAAACCGTGTCGTAGCTCTTTTAAACTTTACACCTCAACACTTCAACGTCAGGGCGCACAAACGAGGTACAACACTCTACCCCCTCCTTTTACGCAAATATTCAATTTCAGCAAAAGCCGGCGAAAGCGCTGGAGGTCTCGCCGGAGAGTTTTAGTCTACTCACATACATCTAACTCTCCCGTAATGGAGCCTGTGATGAATAAATTATCATTCTGGTTTTTAGTTCGTTATCAGCCATCTAGGTAATGAGGGATCTTGCCAAATTTGATCAGTTAAAGATTTCAAGTCGATTTTGTGAATCTAGCATTATAAAATATTTGACCTTCTCTTTTACAAAACAAACGGTTAATTTCCTGTCTAAAAGCCCTGTTGTTATACGCATAAATCAATGGATTTGCCAGTGAGCTTGTGTATGTGGCAAAGTCGACCATCCAGCTCACCAGTAATAGGCAGTCGAAGGATTTACTGTTTAGAGTGCCATAAGATCTCAACATGGCGAGAACGACAGCGGGGCCTAGGGAGAGGGCATATCCAAATACGGTGATAGTGAGCATGCGTACTGCGTTAGATTTCGATTTTGCCACCACTTGGCTCATCATTCCACTCTTGCCTCTCTGATGCAAGAAGATGGCGACTTTAACGTACAACGCAAAAATGATGGTCAACGGAACAAGAAATGCAAGGACAAAATATAACGTGGTCGAAGACTGCCCCAGTAGATTTTGTGGAATACCACAAAGTTTCTTGTCAGCACAATTTTCGCAGACCATACCTCGAGCTTCGGGGATTTTTAGAACAGAAATGCTATCCATGCTAATAACAAAAGGGCACGACACGATGGTAGCATACAGCCAACAGAGAAAAACGAGGGTGAAAGGATTTTCCTTTGACTTCAAACTCTGTAAAGGGTGGACAATCTTTTGATGCCTATCGATGGCTATGACAACCAGGCTGACAAATATGGCCGAGGCGGAGGTCTTAGAGAAAAATGATATAGCTTTGCACTGGAACGTTTTGATTCCCGTCGCTGGAACTACAAAGTACACCATTAAAGGGAAGACAAGTAGGCGATGTACCAGCTCCACCACGGACAAATGCGTAATGAAGAAATTTGAACTGTTTCTTTTATAGCGTTTTTTTCGCAGCATCACATAACAAATGGTCGCATTGACGATTATTCCCAACACGATAACGAGCAGATTAATCGACAAAATCACAGCGAAGGTGATTCGTGCTTCCTCGTACGAACGAATGAGCAAAACTGTCGAGCCACGGATGTCAGTTGAGTTCACACTGTTTACGAAAGCTTCCTGGAGCATTGTGAATTACAATTCCAACAAACTTGAATAAAGCGAAAATCACTTTTGTGGGAAGTTTGACGGGGGTACCTTCTCAATGAGCCTGGTGACAACTGTGATCTCTTGTTCAAACTCTGTGAAATACTTCACTATTTTGCCCCTGATTTGCGCCAATCTTTTTCCAAGTTTGCGTCGATTAATGACTGAAGTTATCCTGGTGAAGGTCTTGCCAATGATATTTCGCGAAAGTGTAGCTTCTGCTCAAGTCAGGTAAACTGATTTTTCGCCTGTACTCTGCGTCCTCGTGAGTCTTGATATCACTTGACAAGATGGGCAAGCTTTACCTAAAACATCACTCGGCCTGAAGACATAAAATATTAACAGCATATAAGCTTCTTAAGAACGCAACGTAGATTTTACGCCCTTGGTCTGCACCTTGTTCGTCATAATATATTTTGAAAAGACGGATGAGTTTAAATTAAACATTACTCAGCCCTAGGTAACTGAATAATATCTGCATATAAACTACTCACTCTTACACGTAGTAATGGATTTGTCTCAAAATATTACTGTACTGTCCATCAAGGAACATGTAATGTTTGTTCTGTGCTCAACTTGTGCTTAACAACAGCTGTTCATGATACTTGCATGTTCAAACAACATAAGAAATATCCAGCCGACAGATTGAATCGAGATGAGATGTTAATAAATAAAAACTCCTTTTGGGCTGGAAATGCCAAATTTCTTGAAAAATCAATCAAAAATCCTCGTTTCTAAGGTGCACGATAGAGAAACTTTTTTCGTTTACACGGACGGTTTGCAATGCAAACGAAATTTTAACTTGTTTATACAGCTAAATGTAATGCCCCCTTGTTTTCTCCTAGCTACTAAAACCCAGCCAACTACTTTTTGGTCGTTGATACGCGAAGCGTAGAAACGACTATTGCTGATGGGGCAAAATATGCAAATGTGTCACTCACTCAGATGTAAACTTTTGGCCGATAACATGGAGAGCCTGGGTACGAATTGCTAAAGTTAAGAGTGGCCATTTTGACGGTTCATGTGTTTCGCTTTTGTAAATATGTGGTATTTGGTTAGGTCCCTTCTCGCTCCTTCTGGGCACGGTTACGTGGAGAAAACTTATATAATTGTAAATAAAAACATCCCCTTCACTTTGGGTTCAAAATCGAAACAAAATTGAACTTTTTTGGTTCAAAATGTAGCAGGGGATTTCATGGCAGAGTATCATTTTCAGCCAAACTTTTCAAGTAGCCTGTTGGCGCCGCATTTAAATTTTTGTTATTTTTTTCCGCCTGTACGTGCATTCTTTTAGTGATCATCGCATTCTTTTCGTTTATCTCGCTTTCACGTTATCAATATTCTGTTAGGTTTTTCGGCATAATTTTGTTTTGTTAAGTTCCCTTTTACATGCGTTTTTCTAGATTATTTGTGCATATTCATTGCGGTGCTACAGTTATCTTGTTTATTTACAGCCTTCCGCTTTCCTCTTTCGTGTTCCTAACCGTCCTAGTCATATAACGTTTGTGAGTATCGTCTACCTTTGGCTGGTTATTTCTGTTTCTTTTATTGTATTCGTTTATAACTTGTAATTTATTTTGTTTGTAGCAACCGCTCGCTTTTCCTCGCTTTCTTCGCTTTCATCGTTTATGACCGCACTCTATCGTTTGAATTGTACATTTTCGTGGCATCGATTAAAGCACATGTAGTGTGTTGAACGTTTGACTACAAGATAGCCCTTTCTGGAAGGGATGCTGAAAACTGTTTGAAATGATTCTTATAGTATTTGCAGAAATACTTTTTTTCTCTATTCCCATTTACCAGCTAGCTAAAATCAAATTGTTTATGTTTGCCAAAGTATAAAATAAACAAATTTTTGCAACATCTTTTATTTATTTATTCAACTTCGCCTAACTAATTAAAACACTTATATACATAAAATTTTTATTATTAGGCAGGAGACCGCTACAGCTTAGCCAATTACAGTGGATCCCTTGTAATATCCGTGTCCCACTAAAGTAAAATTGCGCAAAATATTCTTGGCACTCTCAAGCTGATTGTCTTAAAAGTATGAATGTCAAAACCACGTGACATATATATTTTCATGTGACACACAGGCTTTTGATAATGCAACACTCGAATGTTAACTGAAGAAGGACCACAACCAAATTACCTTGACCCAAAATGCACTGCTGACTCACTAATATTACACATGTTATAACCAACTCCTCTGACTGGATGTCAATTTGGGACTGGTGATTATGGTGAACTCTCATTTAATGGCTTCATTGTGCAACAGACTGTATGAGTTAATTAACACTACCTGTACAAGTCGATATAAAAACAACAATTATTTTCCAATGCCAATCAAAATAAATTAATATATTCTGTTCAAAATTTATAAGCAGTCTGTATAAACAGCCTGTAATTTGATTTTTTGTTTACTTGCCTAGTTACACTGTACATGTACTACTTGAGCTTTCAAAGAGGCTTTCAAAAAGTTATTTCAAAAATTATCAACTACAGTGGGGTAAACGTTTAAATCGCAACAAACAAAATCTTGTATATATTGTGCTTCAAGAGCAGAGTTATTTTGACTTTTATCGTGACCCTGTTATCTTCAAAACCCGGTCAAGCACAAAGTAGCCGATCCAAGAAGACCTCTTCATCTTGTAGGCAATGTATCCACGACTTCTTCGTAGCTCCCTTTGATTTCAGTTATTTACTATCGGCTATCTCGAACTCGGTTATTTCGAACTTCCCGCTATTTTGAACTATTTTTTTTATTTCTGTCAGAGTTCGAAATAGCGTAGTTTGAGTAATATATCAAACACGAGAGACAGTGTTTCATCGGGATATCCAAACACTGAGAAAGGAGTTGAAAATACGACGCGCAGCGGAGTATTTTTGACGAAATTCGAGGTGTTTGGATAGCTGATGAAACACTGTCTCGAGTGTTTGATATATCTTCTCAATCGAAACAAAAACTAAGGAGTAAACGGAGAAGTAAAATCGTCAAAATCTATGCTAATTAAGACCGGGTGTCCAAACCTCCTTCACGGTCGTGGTTTCTTTGTTTTAACGTGATGAATTATTAATGCATTTGAGAACTGTAGATAATTTACCACTAATGCCGATTCCAGAGAAGACTAAAGTTGTAACGAAACAGGGATTGAAGTTTTTTATCGGTAAGAGCAGTCGTTCAATGTCCACGCTGATGTAACAAATTGTCTCTGCAAGATGGATTCTTGTGTTTGCTATGTTGAACAAAATCCTAAGCATTTAAGTTCGTCAATTCCAGTAGATTTTCTGTTTCGATAGCTTTTCTCGTGACGAAGCTAAAATTATGCTAAAGCATAAAGACAGTACTGTAATCTGCATTGCAAACCGCCTAAAACGTCTTGTGACACATATTTTAGACTATTACCAATACTGATAATTTCCATTAGATTTCCTTTATTATTAATTTGCCACACAATAAATATATGTACAAATATCAAATCTATAAGGCAAGGAAGCTTAGAGAAGCCAACAAAGCTTATGCAAAGGACTGCTTTTGGAGATATCTGAGACTAAACAACTGTCTTTGGCAAGACAGTTTATCTAAATATATAGATACATATATCTTTTGATAAAAATAGATAAAGAAGGCTAAAAGGCGCCAAAAGGCGAAAGCGACGAAAAAATACGGAAAAAGTACACACACAAGGACAATTAGAGAAAGTAAAACATGCTTATAACAAGAAAATTGACTTAGTTTAGAGATCACTACAGGCAGAAAAAAGTGAAAAGTTGTCAATACAAGGTGGTGCTTGTGGGATTTTGACTGGATTTGTTGTTTTTTGTTTATCCTAAACATTTCAAAAGAATTTTAAAATTGAAAATATTGAAGCACAAAACTGCAAAGGAATTCAAATACTTACAAAATGATCTGCACAGAAGGACTCTGCTCCCTCGATGGTTGAACTGATGTCTAAAGTTTTGATCGTATCACGAGTTATATATATTCGTAATAGAGTTGCATCACAGCCTGGCAATCAAAGACAGGTGACGATGGGTCTGTGGACCGCACGTACACATACAGGAAGACGGAACTAACACTAAAATTTCCGTTTTCGATCTCGTGGACCCGAAAACCAACTAAACTTTTTTCAACACCTGTAATTTTGGCTTGACAAATCTAAGATTAGGTTTAGCAGCTCGATAAAATTTTAGAAACCATCTTTGTGTGGTAATAATGTGTTGATGAATTTCAACAGACGGGTAAAATTTTAAGGGAGTAGACCCAATATTCATCTAGGGACGTTCTCTGAAAAACAAAAAAATTCAACCAATATTACAAGGAATTTAAAAGAATCAGTAGCGAGCTCGAGAGTTGATATTTTAAGAATGTCAAAAAACGCAGTTAATTGAATGCTGTAAAATTGCATCAATGTAACACGGCAACTGAAGCATATGGCTATGCACGAGATTTTTGAGTCAATAATCTTTGGAAATTCCATGTGCATGTAGACTTTCAAAATTACAGCTGAAAATTCGCGTTTTTTTAAGAGTGAGATTGCCATTTTACGATAACATTTACAATGACTGGTTTAAAAATGTGTTCATAGCAGTGGACTTTATTAAGGTTCTCACATAATTAACCAATAAACATTGGTTTGATGGTGGCTGGACATATTTTATTATTCAGTAAAAATGATTTTCGTCCGTGTAGACGACCCTGCTCTCAAGCGCTCACCAGCTTTCACAGGTAGTGAGTGCATCATGTTGACAAGCAAAGGTCTCTACTCCTTCTGATAGATGAAATTTTTGCACCGCAGTGTGTTTGTTAGCTTAAGATATATATTCTGTAATTCGTAAGTTCAACAGAATTTGAATATCTTTCATTTCTTTTTACATACCTCACAATATCAAATATCCTGTCTCTCCTGTGACGCACAATTAGAGAGCAGCACTAATTAGATAAAATGAGGAAGTTCAATATTTCTTTTCCTGATAGACGAAATATCAACCCATTTTTCAGATAAAAATATTGTCACTACAGGACAAATTGTGAAAGGATGTTTCTAAAAGGATGTTTCTAATTGAATTTGTTTGTTATTTTGGACAAAATCCTGAACAAAACAAAGGTTCGTGAGCTTGTTATTCCTGTTTCTCGTATAGCATGTAACGTTTATAAATTTTTATTTTCTTATTTTTAGCAGGGCCTCTTTTGATAGCAATTTTATTTATAGAGCTGAACGAGTTACATTGAAGACGTCATTAAAAGAATAAAGGTTTACTTACTTACTGGGAAAGATTTTAATATAAGTTTAATACTTACCTTTTTTTTCAATTCTTTTTTTTTCCTATTTGCTCGATCCTACTCTGTCGCTGGCTGAGTTTTCTCTTGAATCTCCGATTGTATCATGAACTGCGTGTAATATAACGTATTCAGCTGCCATCAAAGACAGGAGAAAGCGATTGCCTCCCTGGAGTACATTTCTTTGTGAAAATGGGCAAGTTTAATTTGGGTTCCGATATTCTGATGAGTTTGCAACAGATTGTTGCTAAATACCGTGCGAGAGGCTTTGTCTTCAACCAACCTGAAACACATACCAACTAATTCTTCCGGTGACAGAATAGTTATTCTAATGTTACTGAGCAAAATTGAAGGATGGAAAGCTGTTCTCTAAGCGTGAGAATACTTTTTTTTCGCATATATTTTTCATCTCGCGTTTTTACGTTTTAGTTTTTAAAGGCGTTACACTGAAAGCTAGAAGGTGTAACCGCCATTTTGTTAACAAGCGCACACTGCTACGCCACTCACTATCTATCAGAGAATAGATAGTGAGTAGCGTAACCAATCAGAGAACGGCATTCGTGATAGAACGCTAACAGCTTTATACTAATATTATATAGACACGGGTGTTTTACTCGAGAAATTGATACGAAGCTACTTTCGGGATCCGAGGGCATACTTTAAATTCACGCGTATCTTCGCGCCGCCATGCAATATCCTCTATTTAAACAATATGAATGGAGTTTGTAATTTGAGTGTAGCCAAAGCGTTGAACTTTATTTAATAGTAGACTGCAGGCTCAAGATTTCTATTGGCTAGTCATACTTACAAGGAAAGCGGCAGCCTTACAAGGAAAGCCTTATGCCAACTAAACACGGCTTCTCGAAAGAGGGCAATGATATATTTGGTGTGGCATGGATTGTTTCGTGCCTCTAAGGAGTTTATTATTAACTAGACTCATTGAAGAGGAGAGGAAACCCTGGTTTTCTGTGCACTTAGTTGCGGAAGTGAGTTTTAGAAGAGGTTCTGATTTCTTTTGTCCAATCAGAAGCATCACGAGCACACGGATACGTCATATTACTAAGCAACTGATCTTTGCCGGAAACCGGGCAAACTGAATAGTTTATCCTCGAAGAATCTCCGTTTCTTTTTGTCCAATCAGAAGCATCACGAGTACAAGGATACGTCATGTTGCCTAGCAACTGCTCCCTGCCGGAAACCGGGCAAACTGGATAATTAATTCTGGAAGAGTTTTCGATTCTTTTAGTCCAATAAGAAGTATCACGAACACAAGGATCCCTGTCCGGCGAAAACCGAGCCAAACTCGCGCGCATTTATTTGCACTGAGTGCAAATTGAAAAGTAACGATAAATTTGCATGCTCTTCGTCAATCACAATGAAGCCATTTTCTCAGTCACATAATAAAAGTGATTTTAACCACATCCAGTGAGCTTCAAGATAATTGACAAGGATGCCACTCCAACAGGGAAAACAAATATTTCAAACACCAACTGGCAAGGGAGAATGACTGTGAAGATCATCTCAGGTCTGCCGAGAACAGCATCAGCTTAGAAGTGTGATACACGACTTACACCTGATTGCAAGACCAGCGTCTCAATTGATCACTCGGATTCGTTTCCTATACGAGTACACTGTTCAGCAGAGAATAGGACAGTAGCCACATGGATATTTTTTGTACCTATTTTTACACCCTCTCATCTCAACATCTACTACCTCAGACGATTAAGAATTGTAACAAAAAACCTGAAAAATCAAAAACCGGCAAGAAAAGAATGCTAGAGAGGTCAGTGACGGGAACTGTTCATTATTTTAAGCCATTATTTAGAGCAAATATTGATTTTATTACGCAGTTTCTGCAGCAACCAGAATTCAACATATTTTCAATACCAGCTAAACATGTCAACACACAATCTGTACTGCTCCTTTCTACCAAGTAGAATTCCCTTTTAATGATATAATTAGCTGAATATAGACTCTAAGATGAACAAAGAATTGAACCAAAACGTCGTCGCTGGACGTCAATTTCCCTCGTGATCTCAAATGCCCGTCGTGTGTTATCACACTGTAATACACGGTTTAGGCTTCTTTAGTTGTTAAGTAAAGGAAAAGCCTGTTATGGCTCGTCACAAGCCATAAGAACGCCTACGTAGGAAGCTAATTTACTGTTGGATTTTAATACAACTCTTTTTTCAGTCATTTTAACTAACTCAAACAAATACGAATTTCCTTTGGCTGAAAATTACCCTGATGACTCGAATTCTGTGCTCAAAACTGTTAACAACTTTCGGTTGGAAAACAGTAACATAACTTATGTGTCAAAATTTTAAATTTTTACCAATAGCCTGTGATTCAGGCCCATGAAAGACTAAAAACGGCTTGTGAGTGTGGATGGGTGGCAAAAGCACAATACCTCATGAATTAATAACACGATAACTGAAATTCAACACTGCTGGAGCCAGAGCTGACTCGAGCTATTTTTTGTTTCCCAAATGAGCAGTTGGAGTTCTACCGGTATCGGTCGACATTGGAACCTTAATCAATTTTACCACGCACCGTATATCTCGGTGTGTCTTGTTATTCTACACCTTAGACTTGTTAGTGACAAAATATTAATTAGTTCAACTTAGATGGATGGTTACGCTGCTTCAGGTTTTGTTTGACAATTGATTTGTTTTCAGTTGCACTTTTTTCAAAACAAAACGTTATAGAATGTGAAACGCTGACGTGGGAAGAACGTGACAAGGCATTGAAATCAAAGTTCCTCTGTATAAGTACCTTCTATTCACGGAAAGCTAAGGTCAGAATGGAAAAAGTTGTCCAATGCTCGCGATTTACATAACTTTTACACAATTTAATTTTTTTAATTTAATTTTTCTTAAATTACTATATATTTGGCATCATCAAAAGTTCTCCAACGAAAAAAAATTGCTTATATTGATAAAAAGTGAAAATCGCGGGTGATTAATTATTAAAGGAGCATTTTTAAATTTAAATTCACCTTCTTAGCGCGGGTGTTATTTTAAAAAGTTTTATGATTATATCACCTGTCTTTCACAATCGATAGCTATAAATGTTCATACGCTTATATTCACGGCAACGGGTGTAAAATTGAAGCGATCTAATGGTTAAGATGTTGAAAAAGCATAGCTTTTCAAAATAAAGGGATAGAAAGCAAAACCTTTCGTAAGTATTTTTTATTTTTTTAAATTATCCTACCCAATTTCTAAGGGGTTAAAAGGCATATACTCATTCAATTTGCAAATCGATGCAAACATCCATGGATAATCCATGTTCTAGTGACAAGTATTTCGAATAGAAAATTTTAGTTATTTGCATCCACAAGGAGTGTTGTTTTTGTCTTGGAACAGATATCATCTTAAATCTGTGCTATTTGTAAAAATTTGGCGCAGTGTTCAATCGGTTGTACAGATCTAAATGTAGTTTCAGTCTGCTATAATTCCGTGGTTTAATTAAGTGACAAAATGGCTTTTGCAGAGTACATTAGATCTAGCATTCATCCAAATTTTTCTCAAATTTCAGATCTTCCGTCGACCAAACACCTAACAATTGAATTGTGCGTAAGCGCGTTCCTCGTATACAGGGAAGCATTATAACGCGCTGTACTGTTGTCGTTGTATTCGATGCACATCAATCTTTCTCACATTTTGTTTGCACTAAAGTTTCTCTTAGGCAATCTGTAAAGGAGTGTTCTTTTATTGGTTTTTTAGACGAACAACTTATTTCCTAGTCTATAAAATCACAAGGAACTTTGCAAATAACTGTCGCGCCCGTTATGCAATTAGTAAGACTGTATTATATTTCTCAATTCTCCATACAGATAACACCAACTTTCAGAAAATATTTCAAATCCCGAATGGCAATTTCGACCAGCTCTTTGGTGTACGTTCTATTTCTGGCCGTGATGATTAGTATTAACATCGCTGGTAATTCTTTGGTGTGTGTTGTAATATTGAAGAAAAGAGCGATGAAAACCTCCATCAACTGGCTTGTTTTCCACCTGGCCATCGCCGATTTACTGGTCGCTGTCTTCTTCATTCCACCTTGCATTCTGAGCCACTTTATTGAGCAGCCGAGCGGTGTTACTGGAGACCTGCTGTGCAAGTTCATTACCAGTGGGGTTTTGGGTTGGGCGGCGGCTTCAGCCTCGAGCTTTCTCCTGGTGGCAATAGCGTTTGAGCGTTATTCTGCTACAGTACATCCGCTGCTATCACTCTGTCGTAGTCGGTCATGTTGGTTTGTGCCAATTGTATGGACACTGTCGATCCTACTGGACATGCCAAGTCTCGCAGTATCTTCCTTTGATGCAGAAATTCAAATATGCGTGGAGAACTTTCCAGATTACACAACGATGCGAGCGTATTACCTCGCTTGGTCGTTTGCCAATTCAGTGCTGCCAATGTGCATTATGGGATACCTGTACGCACGGATCATTTTAAGTCTGTGCAACCGTGTTCTCGTGCCAGGCTCTTGTCCAAGAGTCGTGTCACGGTCCAAAGATAAGGTAACTAAGATGTTCATCTCAGTCTCTTTTATCTTCATCACGTGCTGGACCCCTCCCGCAGTGCTTTGCGTGTTGAGTCCCGTGATTCCTGGCGGATACGCCACAGTGCATCCCGTGACAACAGCAAGCGCGTTGTTGAATTCCTGCCTCAATCCACTGGTCTACACGCTTCATAGTCAACAGTTCAGGAAGAATATTGCTTCAATGGTTTCTTGTTCCAAAAATAAGCAGCCAGCAAAATACAAGACAAAGAACACAAACGGTTCTGGAATAAAGTCATCACGGCAGCTGGAACTTCATGGATAACATCATTTGAAGACTTATCAAAATATTGGTCTCAATTCTCCATGACTTTTAGCCACAACCCCCTGAGGTTATTTGGCCGGAATCAATTGTCTATGACCTCTACGTAAATATACTCACCGATTCTAGGTTTAGATTTGGAAATATATAGAAAGTTAGCGTTATAGAATGAAAGATATACCAGACACTCAAGACAGTATTCAACCACATTTTTTTGTAATGTTTCTATAATTTTTTTTTGGGACATTTCTCTAAAAAACATATTACAATTCCATGTCTATATCCGACCACATTTCCAAACACCTCGATTTTTGTTAAAAATATTCCGCTGCACGTCGATCGTATGTTCAATGCAACTCTCCTTCCGGCGTTTGAAAATGTGGTGAAAGACGGTCTTTCGAGTTTGATTCATTAGTTAAAACTCGTACCTTATTTCACACCACAGTATATTATTTTCCATTTCCCATTTCATACCATGACTTAAGCTTTTCTTTTCTACTGTCCTTTCCTTTCGTACGTTTCACGCCGATGAATTTCATATAAAAATCGGGATGGTAGTTTCTTTTAAAGCTAATACCCTATTAATGAAACGTAAAGTATTAAGTAAAAAGGCAAATAAACAGAATGAATGAATGAAATGAATGAATGACGTAGTATATCAAGCTGTATAACGTTACTTCAGACTTCAACATCTTCAAGTTCCACCTTCCCCCGCCCCGACCTCCCTCTCCGCTCCCCATCCCTCCACTCTCTCGGAGAATTCCTCATTCGATACGAAGTAATATACACCTTATTCCAAAATGGCCGCTATTTAAGTATTTTTTTGTTTACTTGCAAATCAGCCCTCGTTACCTCGTTCTTAAACTCGAAATTCAAAAAAATATTTTCCCTTAGACGAGGCAACAAGGGCTCATTTTCAAGTAAACAAAAGAATACTAAAATGGCGGCCATTTTGGAATAAGGTGTATAATTTCGAGATACAAATCGAGATTGTAGATATTCAGGGGTCAATCCATGTAAAGTTTTGAACATCATAACACAGGTGGCTACTAGCCTTTGATGACTTAGTTTCCGCCAGCCGAGTGCCTGGAACAGCTTATCAATATCGTCTTCATTGATTGCATACAATAAAATACGGACTGCGCGGTTTTGGAGCTGCTGTAGTTTTTCAGAAAGGCCAACACCACAATTGCCCCAAGCAACACGAAAGCACGTGATAAAGTGTTCGGTACAAGAGTGGAAGTTCAAAAACCACCACGGGCTCGATTGAAGGATCGGGGCCTGGCACTGGATTTCATTCGCACTTCTTGACATCTGAGTCTGCTGTCCTCCCTTTGGAGATGCTTGTGCTCCCAACTTTATGGCCTGTTTCTCTAAGAGGCATAAAAAAACAATTACTCGAATCCCTGCCAACCCTTTTGACACACTACAAGCCTAATGCAAACTTACTCCCACGAAGAGTTGACTGACGAAATAAACTTGCATTATACACATTTCGACAATGCCAACTTCTGCAAACAGCCACGCTACATTCAAAGATATATTTAGCTAATAATTTGCTATATCGTTGCCATCTGTCTGTTCTCAGTAAATTTATACAAACCAAGGTTGTTGCCTGTCATGATATTATGCTATTACATAAATTCCTAGATTTTTCATGGAGAAAAAAGTGCTTGGAAGTTATTAAATTCAACTGATTTTCTTTGAAAACTTGAAAAGCGGAGATTTTGTTATTAGTTCCATGGTCCTGTGAGTGTACGTGCGTTGCATATTAATTCCCCAGACACATCACCTGTCTTTTGATTGCTTTGTAATGTAACCATGAACATGTAAATATGTTACAAATAACTCATAATACGTTCGAAATTCAAACAATCCCCTAACCGGCTGGAGATCAGGGTCACAATAACACGAAAAAACATTTTGCACATATAAGTATGTCAATTTTTAAGACCTTCTTATGGTTAAACTCAAAATACCAAAAAAAAGAGACAATGTATTGATTTTTTTACAGGCGTTGCCTTACTCCTAGCAGTGGAATGAAAATATCTATATATGTGGAGCTGTATCCCGGTGGCTTAAAAATTCTCAGTTTACCATTCGCATTGTTAATGCACTGATAAACGATATCAAAATAGAACTATGCAGAATTATAAAATCTAGCAAAACTGTTAATGCATCCCTGAAAAAAATAAGCGTTTTTAGTTTTGATTTAAAATTTGTTCATTGTCTCGGCGTCCATGAACTTTGGCAGCAACAGGAAAATGACCGTCCACCGCATTTTGAAAACAGTAGTGCGTTGCACAATTGAGAACCCAAGGAGTTCTAACATAACAAGACCGAGTAATATGATTAAATATTTGTAGCCTGCGTTAAAGAGAGATTCAAATATAAGCTTTGGCAAGAAATTTTCGGATTTTGGAGATATTCTGTACTCTACTTTTCTTCTCGAAGCGATATGCTATATCCCTATGATACAAAATTTACAGTTGTAGAAAAAAGCTAATTTGTTATACTGATTTGCTATACAACCGTCTAAGGTTTCAACAGCAAAGAAATCTCTCATGCAAACGCACGTCAAAGCCACCTTACACTAACATAATTAGCGGTAAAATTGCAAAAAAATGGACAGGATTTTATGTTGTCTTTCGCTTCAAGGAACACATTTAAACTTACAATCCTTCTTACCAATTTCTGTAAAGCTTCTGTAATGCTAGATGCGAGAATTTTGGGTTACAGCAGTTTTTAGCATAGATTTTCACGATTTTGTTTCTCGGTTTTCTCCTTAGTTTTAGTCTCAGGTGATTATATACATCTAACACTCAAGACAGAGTTTTCATTTCTCGAAGCACGTCGAAGCTGGACAAACATGCTCCACGGCGTGTCGTATTTCAACTCTCCTCTCAGTGTTTAGAAATTTGGTAAAACACGGTTTCTCGTGTTTATCAAATATTGTCTCTTCTTATTATTATTATTTTATCATTTTTCTCTTTGTCAGTGAAAATTTGCTTGACTTTTCCACTGCGGAAGGGCAAAACCCGAAACGATTGGAACTATTCAAACAATGTGACTCTTAAGACTCGGATGCGAGAACTTAAATGTACTGTTTTCGCCCACAGGACTGTCTTGTGTGTCAAACAGTGTAAACAGTGGGCAGCAATTTCGTATCTGACTCAATGTGCATTTCTTTAAGAGGACTCCAGACTGGATTTTTACAAGAGCTATTACAAGAAACGCAAGATGCATAGGGTGCCACATCTGTTGGCTGGAGGCTGATCAAGGCGAACTACAATCGTGACAGTTCTAGATAGTATGTAACTAATCGTATTGTTCGTGTTTACATATGGTGTACTTTTATTTCCACAGAGGGCACGCTCAGCATGTATTTGTTTGGAATGAAGAGATGGTACTAGGATTCACAATTCATTTCTGGATTTGAAAAAGATACAAAAGACTATTTCTTAATTCAAGATCCGGTTTTGAATTTCCCCAGAGAAATGCACCTTAAAATCTGCGGCCGTAGGAAAAACATCGCTAAAATCGACCATTTATGTATTGCAACTGGATTTCCCTCTTAATTTCTCAAAGCCAAATAATTTCTTTTTATTCAGATTACCTGTGAATATTCTGATACACTATTAATTCCACATTTGCATCACCGGTTGTGGTTTTTTAACGAACAAATTGCTAGATGCCCAATCTATATTACATTTAACCATCCAATACAACCTCAAAAGTGTAAACAATATTTTGAGCAACAACTGAGCAGGGTCTCCAAACTGGTTATGATTCGATGGTTCGCTGGCTTTGGGTTGATTTGTTTGTTTCACACCAAATACAAAGCAATGCATCGCGTACTTGATGATATAAAAATAACAGTTATGCTCGTTTTCAGTGTTAATAGTTTATTTACAGTCCAAGATTAACACATAGTGTTTACTTTCAGAAAACTGAAAAAATCAAGAAATGGCAATTTCTGCAACGTCTCTTGTGTACGTACTGTTTCTCTCCGCCATGATAATTTTCAACATAGCAGGTAACTCCCTCGTTTGCACTCTAATGTTAAAGAGGAAAGGTCTTAAAACCTCGATTAACTGGCTTCTTTTCCACCTGGCCATCGCTGATTTACTGGTCGCTGTCTTCTTCATTCCACCTTGCATTCTGAGCCACTTTATCGTTCAACCAAGTGGTCTCACTGGAGACCTGCTGTGCAAGTTCATTACCGGCGGGAGCTTTGGTTGGGTGGCTGCTACGGCCTCGAGCTTTTGCCTAGTCGCGATAGCTTTTGAGCGTTATAATGCCACTCTACTTCCATTACTAACACTCCGTCATGGTCGGTCGTTGTGGTTGGTGCCAGTTCTTTGGATGCTGGGATTCCTGCTGAGCATACCAGCTATTGTTGTAACAGCTTATGACGTGGAAGGTCAGATGTGCGTGGGAAACTTTCGAGACTACACGACGCTTCGAGCCTATTACCTTAGTTGGTCGTTTGCCAATTCCGTGCTACCGATATGCATTATGGGATACCTGTACACGCGGATTATTTTGTGTTTGCGCAAGCCTGGACTCGTGCAATGCTCTTCTCCGACGGCTGCGTCACAATCCAGGAATAAGGTAACTAAGATGCTCGTCTCAGTCTCTGTTATCTTCATCACGTGCTGGACCCCTCCCGCAGTGCTTTGCGTGTTGAGTCCCGTCATTCCAGGCGGGTACGCCACAGTGTATCCCATCACCACAGCAAGTGCGCTGTTGAATTCCTGTCTCAATCCACTGGTTTACACGCTTCACAGTCAACAGTTCAGGAAGAGTCTAGTTTCATTGGTGTTTTGCCGCGAAAACAAGGAGTTAGCCATTCACAAAACAAGGCAAACAAACTCGTCACGAATCAAAATCTCTTCTAATTATCTGTAATGAATTTGCATTTCGCAAGCATATAGACTTGCCACAAGGCGACCTTTGCTTAATCCATAGCGTATTTATCTCCCTTGAGCGAATACAGATGGCGGTCTTCGAGCGACGCGAGCGAAACCAACAAGCCAAGGAAGAATTATTGGAAAGGACTTTCAGAAAGTCCAGCAAGTATGGTAACCGAGAAGTTATGGCTCACTGATTTGTTGAACTGTGCTTTGCAGAAGGTTGACTCACTTAGCTGGCTTTTGCTCCTAATCAATTGTAGCTCTTAGCTCGCTCAGGATCTTCCTAGCTAGTTCAGTGGTACATGAATTTTTGTGGCCTGGATAACTTTGATAAAAATGAGGTTCGTTAAGTCCCAGATATGAGTTGACCAACTTAAGCAGTGATGGCGCTTCTAATTATAAGTGAGGAATAATTTTACCTAGTCGTACCTCGTACCTCTTTGGTACGCTTCGGCGACATATCAAATATAGAAACTGGTGCTATGGCCCCTAAACTGACGTTTTGATTCGTATGACAAACGGCAATCTTTACCTAACCATGATCGACCTTACTGTGTACACACGTTTGAAGGATCTGAGGCAGACCTAGTTTTTTTTCTGAATATACAAATTTATACCGTTGCACAAGACCTATATCGTTTACAAAGTAGGGAGCTACTCCTGTTAGGACTAATGAGTTCTCTGCAATGTGGGGCCATTTCAAGGAATAATTCAGTAATCTTTAAAGCTGTATTTTAGCTCACTTAGAAGATGTCATTCTACTATATGACTAACAGTGTCGAATCCCCCGTAGGGTGATAGCGGCTGGTATATATTTACCCATTGTTCTTAGTGCGTGAAAACCTTAACCATTAACAAGGCTCATAAAAACGTAGAGAAAAGTTCTAAAATTTTGAAATCTAGTATGCACAGTCCCGTTAATACAGGGAAAATATTGCAAAATATGTCTTTCCTTGTGCCTAATGGGCTGTGTTAGGTTCGCATGGTATTGTGGTAAAATGTATAGCCGCCATCTATGTATGGGTCAGTTTTGTTTAAAACTGTCAGCGTCTTGTAAAGTCAAAAAAATGCAGTAAAACAAAGAGTGATATACCCTCGAGCATACCCATATCTTTCTTGATTCCTTATAGTGAGTTCCCCACCCCAAACCACCCTCCCCCCCCCCCCTTCTCCTCTTATGATCGCCCCCTTCCTGGAAGCTCTCTATGAACCGTGAACAAACAAAATAGTAAACTGTTTCCTTCCGCGCTAATGTTGTAACTCTTTATTTATAATTGTTTTTTCTTTCTAAAATAGCTGGCTTATACTAAAAATGCGTATATTGGTTCTTCTTTGGTATGTCTAACAAAGCAGAGAGAAACTGATACAAATGATAAGCTTACGAACACCTGAGACAGTGTTTCATCGGCTATCTAAACAACTCGAATTTCGTCAAAAATACTCCGCTGCGCGTCATATTTTCAACTCTCTTCTCGGTGTTTGGATATCCCGATCAAACACTGTCTCTCGTGTTTGATATATTACTTCTCAATCGGAACTGGAACTAAGGAGAAAATTAAGCTGAGAATCGTAATGGTAATTCTAGGCTTATTATAGGATTAGATATCAAATTCTTGGTCACCGTTGATTTTCCCATTGTTAAACTTGATGTCTTTTATGAGGTTCAAAATATGTATTGCTGCACTCCTATCTCGATTTTTAATCACTAATAGCTAATGTCCATTCTTAAACTTCTAATTTCCCCGAAACGAGTAATCCTTCACGGAGACTAACGGATCCCTTTCTTTCTACCCGACGGCTGGACAGGCTTATCATTAGATTAATACCAACCAAAAATCATTCTATTTACTATGTTTCAAAAAAGAATCCTATATTTGTCTCGGTTAAAAATGTTTAAGCGAAAAATTTAATGATCTTGACAGAAACGAAATTATGGCTGGTTTTTGAATCCATGAAATCGTGCAAGGCGGAAGTTGGGTGTTAAATGTTCCTGTACTTGGACGATGTCACATTTTTCAGATTTTTCCATCAAACAAAACAATAAGCCTCACCGCGCGATTTATCATGCCAAATTTAGTTGATATGAAGAGTTTCACAAGAATTCGTTGTACACTCATTGAAATATGGGGCCCCAAACTTGCCGCTTTATACCAAGAAATGTATGCCAACGGGTAAACGAGTTTCCAAATAATTCTCCTGAAACGTCGAATGTTTACTAACTTCGGAATGAAATATTGATCTATGGAGGTGGGTTTTTATTTATATAAAAAAAATACCAAAAATTGCTGATATTGCACGACATCCTGGAAGTGGTTCATTCAACAGACGCCTTGCCTGTCTTTGATTGACAGCTAAATACGTTATATTTCGCATAATATAGAAACAGCTCAACGAACGAGAGAGAAGGATCGACCAAATAAGGAAAAAAAAGCATGTTTTAAGAATCAATTTATTTTTCATTTCTTTTCTACCAAACAGTTCTGGATTTTGTCCAAAACAACTAACAAATTCAATTTAGAAACATCCTTTTGCAATCTGTCTTGTATTGAGAGTAGTTTTATCTGCAAAATGGGTTGATATTTCACCTATCGGAAAAAGAAATATTGAACGTCCTCTTTTTATCTAATTAACATTGGTTTCCAAATATGCATCACAGGAGAGACTGCTGGCGAGGGAGAAAGGTATCGGCTGATATCTTAAGGCCGTAAAGTGAAATAAGAGATATTTAAATTCTGCATGTTGTATTTGACAAAACCTGTTTGGTAAGCAGTTCAATGTTAAGAAATGTACTTTAAGCAATTAATATATTACAGTGATGTAATGGAAAAAATGAAAGAAAAGCACTGTGGTAAATTTCGCAGAGTATACCATAAGCTAATAAATACACTGCATTTACAAAATTTTACAGATCAGAAGTCTTGTTCACACCATAGTTTGTAAATTTTAATGGTTATGAAGCTCGGCAGAACTCGTTGTTCTTTGTTTTTTGGCCTTAACCGTGCTTAAAACACCACAGCGTTTGACGATAACTAACCAATACAGAGGTTACCTTTACCTAATTCAAACGAAGTGTGAGAGCACAAAACCGAAGACTATGCTTGACCGTGGACCTCCCAAAATAAATCTTGCTATCTGTGTTTGCTCCTTTGAAGTTTGCCAAGCTTCATATTTATTTTCCTCTATTTACTGTTCACACCTAATAGGCACTTTGCACTGTCACTGTCAAGACTGTCACGTGACCTTATCAGTCATTACGAAGTTGCTATTATTTAATGGGTACCAGAAAAGGAAATAGCATCATGATTTTATCAACGTTATCACATTTACCGTCACCGTTAATGTGAGAGAGTTAACACTTGAAACTTTGAATAATCAAGCTAATTTTGAAACATTCTGTATGTCAAAAGCTGTAATCGAGCAAAAAACTGCTAGCTTCACACTAACATCTTTGAGATCTCCATATTCCATGATTAATTGATAACTTATTAACGAATGAAACTAAATTAATTTTCTAAACCCTTTGCTGGCTTACATTAGTTCAACATGGGAAGTATGTTCTATTTTTAAAAAGGCAATCTAAAGCCCACGTAGACAACTAATGGAAAGTAACTTAAATTTCACAGCATTCAATTAGCTGTCTTACTTTTACACTCTTAAAATGTCAGGTTTCGCTACTTATAATTCTGGTTATGAAAAAAATTTTTTTGTTTCGAGAATATCCCTAAATGAATTCTAGGTTTATTCTCTTATAATTGCACCTGTCTGTTAAAATTAATCAATAAATTAATACCACACAAAGATGGCTTTCAACATTTTATCGAGCTATTACATCTAATCTAATTTGTTAAGGTAAAAGGTGTTGAAAAACGTTTAGTCAGTTTTCGGCTTCACGAAATCTAAGCGGAAATTCCTGAGTTCGTTCATGTTCCTGTGAGTGTACGTGCGTTGCATTTTAATTCCACAGACACATTGATATCACCTGTCTTTGATTGCCAGGTAACTATGCAAGTAAATTACATATAACTCATGATACAACCGAGAATTTAAACAACAGCTTAACAAGCAAGGGAGCAGGGTCGTCCAGAAATGAGAGAGTCCATTTAGTAAGTATTTTGAATTTTCTTCCAGTTTTCAATTTTCAAGTATTTCTGAATATTTTCAACTTTAAAATTTTATTGATATTTTTAGGACAAATACAAATAACAAATTTAATTTTAAAAAAATGCTCAAAAATTCATTTACAAGGTTTGCCCACGATTAAAAAGAACATTTAACCTTCCTTTTTTCGTTTTCGGAAATCGTCTAACAAGTATTGCAAAACTTCCACATGTTTCCAATGCAGATTACGGGAATGTTTTTAGCGGTAGCATAATTTTAGCTTAGCTTTGTCATGAGAAAGTCTGCCGAAAGGGAAAATCCACTGGAATCGAAGAAATTAAATGTTTAGGTTTCAGTTAAACAAAGCAGACACGAACTGCTCACAAGAAAGGGCAGAGTCCGTCTTGTACTGACAATTTGTTACGAAATCCATCCAATCGTCGGCTAATTGATTTCACCGATCAAAAACTAAAAGTGAGTTGTAGGTTCTGGCCAAAGTAACTTAGGTGATATATTTCCGGCGACATATTGGCAAAGAAATCTACCAAATTGAGAATGCAGTTAGAGCTTAACGACCCCGACATCTTGAGGGAATTTTTAGCAAACTTACAGGTAGTAAACAGACATATCGCGTGCCATTTGGCAGAGAAGAACCAATATTTATGGTAATTCCAGCGATTTAAAGGGAGTAACTGCGTCTTATTTCAAACAAAATTTTATAGGGTCAAAAGTTTCTTTTTTTTTTCCCTAAGGATGGTCTTTTGATTATTTAGCTCTCTTTGTAATCATTCCAAACGTATACAAGGTTGGTGATTGAAAACACTATCATCAACGCTAACACAATTAAGATGCACCTGCAATTAAGCAGTTTACGAGATTTTAAGGAAATGGTCACGTGCCGCGCCACGTGACAAGGTGCATCCAAAAAATACGTGAGAGAAAGAAAGGATAACTAGCCATTTAGTAGCATTTTAGGTTGGAAGAGCAAATTTCTGGAGATCCAGTAAATATAACGACATACGGTTAATTACGATGCATCGCGATATGTATTTTCAAATTTCTTTGTTTTCACATGATGTCATCAAATTCTAAAATCAGATTTCTTAGGTTCTCCTAAGTTTTTACATTTACTGACTATAGCCACAGAAGCGAAATTTGCTTTTGATTCCGAGTTGATCAATTACTTTAGGTATTAGCTTTTTCCCTTCAGTGCAAAGAAAAATGAAACGATGTACTAAATAAAAATAACGAGAGAGCAAGACTAGTCCGAAACATAGAGTCTTTCAATTCTTAAAATCTACACAGCTGCTCGCAACTGAGTCTTCACAGAAAACACGATCTGTTTACAAACTCGTCATAGAATCGGTCTTGTACTGATGATTCGAAAATGAAGAACTCTTTATTTTTGGTGGTTACAAATGTGTTGATTTCTAATATTTCACATAAGGAAAGATCAAGCGTCTATCTCTCTAGCCTGTTTCCGAATGTTACGTTATCGCGTACTATTTGTCTTTCAAAACTTCCATATGGCATCCAAATGTGCATTGCAGATATTTAACATCAAACCTTGACATTTATATTCCTAACCCAGAGCTTAACATCTTTTGCGTAAGATTATATAGCACATGCAATCTGTAAAGATTATCAGTGACCGGTTGTCTATCTTTATTATTCAACTTTAAATCTTCCATCCACATAAAGTTAGCTTATAATTTAGTTTCTGCCATCGATTGCTTTCACCATATACTGAATGACCACAAAGAGACTAGTAAAGTTGACAAGTCAGTAGAAACCTTTTTTCATTAGTAAAAGGACATTTACAAAGCATTTGCTTGTCGCTCCGCTATAGGTAGGTTGATACATCACCACATCACCCGGATACGGATATTTCATGAGTCTTACCAACAAATAACCCATCAAAGATATCAGATATCGGGCTTTCTATTTGTCCATGGCAAAAATATTGATTACCTCAGCTCAAAGTAGGCAGCATTTTCACTTAGTTTTTAATTATTTCAACCTGCATTTGATTACCACGTTCAATAAAATAATCACAGGTGAATTTACACAAAGTTGACAGGTCTGACATGGTTTTCTTAGCTGCAAGAATCGCTGCTAGTTAATACTTTGTATTGAAGACTACGTTCAAAAAATTAATTCCTCCCAGTTGTTCCCATGCAGTTCTTGCAGTGCTATTTGTGAGAATTTGGTGGGTCATCAACACCTTATCCATATTTGACTATTTACTCTTTTTATCGTGACCTGTCTGTTACAGTAAATACTGAGTCACCAAACCTGACAAATCGATATCAAACAAAGTAGGCAAGAATTAACTATTTAAGTCTTACATTTCTGTTCGAAAGAGAAGTTAACTCTACTAGTTTACTCATGTAATCTTCGAAGGCCGAAAGAGTAAGTTTTAATTCAATTTACCTGTGAGTACGTATCGCATGTTCAACACCATAGTACGCCTTATCCGTTTGTTTTAAAAGCCAGTCGCTAGATCCCTCATTGGCAACAAAACGGGATCAGACATAGAAACATTGACTTTGCCAACGACAGAGCAGGGTTGACGAAAACAGAGAAAAGAAGTTTCGTAAGTATATTTATCCCAATTTCATTAAAGATCCTCCTCGCAATTTAGCTTGATATGGCCAATGTATCATATTCAATTGAAAAAAATCCTCAAAGAATTCGTCTTCTATTGACAATTCGAAGGCAGGGATTTACACTTTTGCATCAACACTGTTTGGCTTCTGATTCAGGATAAAAAGTAATATCGAACATTCTCTTTTTCCAATGAAAAATGTTTGAAACATTCATACAGTGACCAAATATACACATTGTAACGTTTTATAACTTATTTGGAGGAAGAAATCGACGTCTTTTGTATAAAAGCGATAATTCAGCTCTTTCAGACAATAAAAGCTTTTTTGGCTGGTGCATCTTTTGTTAAGCTTTATTCCTAAGCGTGAAGGACGCGTGTTATCAAAAATGGTTAAAGCGAACACCTCAGGGCTAAGTTTCATTTCCATTTTTCATTTAGGGCTAACACCATTTTCATTTTTCGTTTAGAGTCACGCTGCGAGTACAATGTTCAATATTAACCAAATTTCCCGTTTTTGAGGTAACCTCCAGTAGCTGGAAATGTTCCATTGGAAAAAAAAAAAAATTGAAGTTTTAAAGCTTGAAACTCGAGTTATTATACGGTGTCTGATGATTATGAGATTGCCGTACTGGGAATCGCCGTTTATGAAATCGTTTTTTACGTGGCGTTTCCTCGCGTCTGAAAGCTGCTATTGATTGCTTTGGCTTGTTTTTGCCGTAAGATGACAATTTGACGGCAGATTTATTTTCTTACAGAATTAAAACATTCTCAAATTTGACAACTTTTTGACGTATTAAGGGAACAAACGCATAAAAATTTACGTCAATTTGCTAACTCTTACGTTGTTCAGATTTATTCTTGGTTCCACGGACAGGTGAAGTTGAATAGAATTTGAGATGAATTTTACAGACTTTCCACAGATATTTTCCTCGCTCATGGCTATTAACTATGCTCTACAAAGTTGGTAAGCGAACGCGTAATTATTTCGGGCGTTTTTATTCTTATTTTATTTTAACTTTCTACATTTTGGGGCGTTTTTAATAAAACAATTATTCTACTCGTGCTTGTTAGATATGAGATGATTACAGTCAACTCGGTGCTACACACCTCGTTCGCTTTCTGCCATCTTATATCCAACGCGCGCTCGTGGAATAATTGTTAACTAGTTTACCTAAACGGTACACAAGACTGCCGAAGGGAATGAGGATGTAAGGAGTGTCAATGCAGAGCAGGGTTGTTCCCATACAGAACTCCTGATCGTCGGTAACAGTAACAAACTGATTTATTTAACTTCTCGGATTACAGCACTCAGCAGCACTAAGCTTCATTACATTTTTCATTGCTCTCAGTCTTACGGACAAAACTCACGCTCTTATACAAGCACACCCGGAATTTCCAGAACCTTCTCTAAAGAATTAAGTAGCATTGTTGCAAGGTTTCTAAATTCGAATATTACTTGAGAAATAGAACATTCCAGAAGGTTTAGGTCACGGATGATCACGATTAACAACAAGCCGTAATTTTTGCGAAGGAATGGAATGAAGTATGTTCTTCCCCCGCGTGATTTCCGTGTGACTACAGTTGTGCAGATAAAAGATATAAACGGTGCTGCTTAAATCTGTGATTTTTTAAATGATATTAACTTCAACAAATCGCAAATAACATTTGATGAGAGGGAACTCTGCTTCAAACTATAAAATGGATGCCTGGTTAAAAATCAAAATTTTGCTGTTGTGGCAATAACGAAGCGCGCGAAGTCTAAAAATAGAATGCAAATTATTGGAACCCTGCGAGAGTCAGACAACATACGCGTTTTCTGAGAGAAATAGGAGGAAAATGAACGCCAAATTTTCGTTTTAAAATTTTTTTTAGGAGCACTTGCTTACGCGCTGGAAAAAAGCTTCAAATCTTCCACCATTCCGTTTTGTTTGTCTGAGTTTGTCTGAGTTATTACGTCACTCGCGCGCTTCTCTGTTGACACAGTTAAATATCATCAATAGTACAATATAACGTTAAACCTTTTTCACGAGCGATTACAACTGGCTTACTTCTACACTGCTGGCTTTGAGAGCTTTAACATTTACGGTAAGCTAACGATAAAATTTTGAACTGACTTGGTTCTCTATCACGGCGGGCGCCTTTGACCTACACTAACTTCTTCGTTTCTGTAATTTTCCAAATGACTTCTGTTAGTATTAGACGAGACTCCACAAGAGTGATTTGTTGGATATCCTGGACTGATGTTCCTGTTGTTCCCGATAGCTTTCATCCTTATTTTCATCGAAGAGAGCACATGGAAAACAGCGCATCTTAATACAGAAAAGACTAAGTTCACAAAGAAAAGTTTATAAAGGAATACAGGAATGATAAAAGAAACGTCAAAAATAGCAATATACACAGCAGAAAACTGTCACTCATCTTCGTACACTGCGCACAAGATCAGACTGCGCATTTTTAATTCTGCCATTCACGCATAACCACAATTTTTCCCCCTTTGATCTTAACGCTACCATAATTCCTTGCGTTTCGCAAAAACTTGTTCAAGGTCCCCACAGTGTGACCTTTTTCCGATTAGAGAGCTGTCTCGTTCGTTCGCTCCAGGCTCACTCACTGCTGCAGCAATTATTTTTGCGATTACATCTACATCTACATTTATTTAGTTGATAAAGTCCCGCTTACAACTTGCTTCTGCTTATTTACAGTTGTTTATTTACTATCTTAATTTCACGCATAACTTTTTCTTCTTTCAGAAGATATTTTGATTCAAGAAATGGCAACTTTCACGTTATCTCTTGTGTACGCACTGTTTCTCTCCGCCATGATAGTTTTCAACATAGTAGGAAATTCCCTGGTTTGCTTTTTAATATTGAAGAAGAAAGCGATGAAAACCTCCATCAACTGGCTTCTTTTCCACCTGGCCATCGCTGATTTACTGGTCGCGGTCTTTTTCATTCCACCATGCATTCTGAGCCATTTCATCGAGGAGCCAAGTGGAATTACTGGTGACCTGCTGTGCAAGTTCATTTTGAATGGCGTTCTGGGTTGGGTGGCGGCTGCAGCTTCGAGTTATCTACTCGTGGTGATTGCATTCGAACGCTACCATGCGACTGTATATCCATTTGAAAAGCTTAGAGGTGGTCGTTCCTCGTGGTTCGTTACTCTCGTATGGATTATAGCAATCTTACTGTTATTACCCAGTCTTGTAGTCACAGGCTACGATGAAGAAAGCCGACAGTGCGTACAAAACTTCCCAGATTACTCTACGGCTCGAGCGTACAAACTTACTTGGTCAACTTGCAATTCAGTGCTGCCGATATGCATTATGGGATATCTGTACATCAAGATTATTTTGTGTCTCCGTAATCACGTTCTCGTTCCAGGCTGTTCTCTGAATTCCGTGTCACAGTCCAGGAATAAGGTTACTAAGATGCTCATTTCTGTCTCTGCCATCTTCATCACGTGCTGGACCCCTCCCGCAATGCTTTGCGTGTTGAGTCCCGTGATTCCCGGCGGTTACGGCACGGTGTATTACGTGTCCACAGCAAGCGCGCTGTTGAATTCCTGTCTCAATCCGCTGGTCTACACGCTTCACAGTCAACAGTTCAGGAAGGGTCTTACTTCACTAGAGTGTTTCTCCAAACCAAGTAGACGGCATTAGCAAAACCGAGAAAAAAGAAACGGGTTCTAAACTTATTAATAAATAGTTAACAAGTTTTCCATCAGGATTCCAATGGATTTCCATGGAGATAACTTTCAATACTTTTCTAGAGAACGTTCTAGGATCAAAATTGCTTATTCGTATGATTTACAGAACATTCTGTGACGTTTTAGGTTAACTAATTTGGCTCAACCAGAGACTCAAATTCAAAAGGTCACCATTTTGTGTTGTTACTGAAAACAGGCTGTTACGTTATATTATACCATCAAGGATGGGTAAAGTTGCGTTAAATATCAGTGGCCCATCCGAGGATTTCGCTTATCTCCAGTATACGTAAGATGAAGCGACTAGGAGTATTTTTGCTCCAAGGGAAATTGCAAAAGGTTCGACTAAGTTATCGGGAGTTAAGAACAAATGACCAGAAAAAGGAAAAACAAAACGGTGCTTACTCTAGTTCTGAGAAAGTCGAGTGAGAATGGAATAATACATGTCTAGATTATTGTATAAACCAGAACGTATAGTCCTAATGGGAACAAAAGAAAGCGAAACAAAACCCCAGGAGAAGTATAGGTACTGCGAACTTTGCAGGCTTTAAAGAGAAAAACGTCGGACTACTGCTTCAGAGTTCATACGATTTTTACTTTTTCGAGAAATAGTTTCAATGCTTTGGACTACAGTACTGTTTGCTTTGAGCTGTCACGTATTGAAAAACAAGGTTTGAGTTATCGAGGGTAAAATTATAGAGAAAATGACCGAAAGGAATCAAAATTTTCTTCGACTTGGCGGGAGGTTCGAGTTATCAAGAGTTTGAGTTATCGAGGGTAAGATTACAGTAAATGTATGACAGAAATCACAAGGAAATCGATTTTGGTTCGAGTAAGCAAGGGTTCGAGTTGTCGGGATCCGACTGTATAGTCAGGCTGAAATAAGGCTGTTAGCTGAATAGATTTGTAAATATAATGTAAAGAGTTAAGCAACCCTCTGGGTGGTCATGTGATCAGCCGCAACCAGGGTCTCTCTCCTTGTCGACAAGGGAGGCAATGGAGAGAGAGCCTGGGTCGAGGTTGTCGGGTCTGCCTTGTGAACTACTTGCTGCTCTTTAAAAACAAAATATGACATGATAAATAATTATAAAAGAACTGCGTAAAGATGACTCAATAAACAGTTTATGTTTGATGCTAATAGGTTAGTTATTTTCAAGATCTTTTAATTGTGGAAGGCGACTTACTACTGAGAAGTTTATACTAGATTAGCGAAAGGGACATATTGAAGTCGAAAATCAACTAGCAAATACATAAAATTAGGTGAAGGTGCCTGTTCTGTCCTTATTTCTGCTTGTTACAATCCTTATGAGGTGACTAATAAGGTGGCAACATATAACGGTCTGGCAACCTATGCGACTAATGTGTAAGAAGGTCTCACTGAGTAGCTGTCGCAAAACTAAAACCAACGGAATTAACTGAAAAAATTAAATTACCCGATGAGAACTTGGAAAAAAACAGGTTATCCCAGCCAAAAGAAATGTTAAATAAATCACTAGAACCACTCTGCAAAACACTTTGGAGATGGGCGTCCATTCGATGTGCGATACGACTCGATACGTGACTCACCCCAAGAACCTTCAACTGTGGGCGCCTCACACTCAATTTCTTCTAAATTGCTTGTTTTGAGCGTAAAATAAAGAGACCATTCTGTAGTGTAGCCTTAAGACTGACACCTGAGAAATGGACAAATCACTATCCAGTTGATTGCGTGGTTTGTTCTGTTAACACTTATCCACTGAATAGTGATTTATCCGGTGGATAGGGTCATTCACCTTTCGATCAACAGAGTCCACAATGACCTTATCTTTTCGTTATCTTTTCTTCTCCTCTCTTCTTTTCACTGGAGGTGTATAAAAGAGTAGGGATTTCATGAGTTGAATGAACTCGTGAAAAAGCCTACCATTTTATATCCCTCCTGCATAAAAAGGGTTAATTCCCCCTTCGAGCCTCCCAGTAAAGTCCACTCAAGAAACATCCCTCGCACGTGCAGATCAAAATTTGCATCAGTGGCTTTCTGCAAATAGTAACAAATAATACCCAAATATTTGTGCACACTCAGAATAAGTGATGGACGTAATAAACTAAACCTTAAAAACAAGGCTGATGAAACAAAGAGCTAGAAACATGTCGTAGTTGTCTTATTATTTCGGCTAGAAGAAAACTAGCCATTCCTAACATGTTTCCTGACCAGTCCAAAGCTGTATTTCTATGATCAACAGCGTTTAACCTGAAAAACAATAACAGTGAAGTTCAAAACAACAGCAAAATACAACAGTTTTTTTTTTATTATCTACTCCGCCGTAGACTACGAGTAATCCCTCTTTCAGTTCGCTTAGTCCGTCGTGAGTGACGCGAAAGGAAAGTGAGAGAAAAAAGTGGCCGCGCGAAATCCGTTTTTTCTCGCGGGTTTCTTTCGCGTCACGCACGACGGACTAAGCGAAAGAGGGACTACTCGTAGTCTAACTTAACCGTTAAACGGAAATCAACACCCGATGTTTCGGTTGTTTACCATTAACAAACGATCTTAACAATGACCAAAGACGAAGACATGAATTTCCACCTTTTCTGTCAGAGGAACCACGGTTCCCACAGACAATTTCCAACGGACTGAGGGAAAAAGCCATTTTTAATTTATATCGCAAATGGAATTTCTATAATTTTTTTGTAAATGGTGAAAGATCAAATTTTGTTTTCCAGAGGGAAATACGGAGAGCAAAGGTCAACAAAATTTTCAGTTCCCCATTGCTCCTGAGTTAACTGTCTTGGAAATCGAAACGTTTACTTCCTAAGAGGATTGCTTTGCCATCTTCATGGATCATTCAGCTGTTAAAAATCGGAAATCTTCCTCTGATTTCTGTTTTCCGAAGCGAGGATATAGGGAAAATGAAATTATTTCCGTTGTCCGTCGGCTATTTCCTGTTGTTGTTTGCCAAGGCCCGCCAAAGGGACTAAGTCGAATTTGCCGCTGACCAGTCGCGGAATACGTGAAATGTGAACTGCAAACTAAAAGTTGGCAGAGTTGGCAGTGAGTCATGTGGGCGATTACCGCCGTGTAAAACGAAAAAATCCTTGCACTATAATCCATCAGTAACTGCAGAAACCCAAGGCCTTGTTTTATCAGTCCGGTAAGTTGAATAGAGCTTCACTGCGCGTTACTATTGGACAGGAATTGTTACCCTTTTATCAGTGTTTGAGAGTGGAAAATATAGGAGCAACCGACATTTAGCCTATGATTATACTGTAGACAGCGGAATTATTAATTTGACCTTTCATGACCACAGGTTCTGCTGCGTCAAAATTGTTAATCAATTTCAGTGCTTGCAGTTTTCTGTGATCCTGGGCGCGTGTAAAGATTGCCTCTCAGTGGAAACCAGAGAGACCCGGCACGTCGTGGGCCGTCGCGCGAGTGAATGCGCTACGCGATTTTTTTACAGGCGACGTATTAAATTTGCATTTTTTGGCTGCGGATTCTTTCAGGTATGGAAGGCAACGGGGACTTAATGAAAATGCTAATGCATGCTGACCATCCAGACGAAAATATTCAAGGACCCATGGAGGACACCGCGATGGTACAAACGGGGGTATGAGTAGAACATTTATTGTTGATTTTTGGATGACCAGTCTTGTCTCGCATGCTGGCAACGCGCGCATGTGCGTCGACCGGAACAATACGATCTTTGATGGGTTTAAAGCAGATGTATCCATCACAGATCTTTGTTTGTGCGCGGAAGCTAGAGAAATGTTATTTCCTTGAATAATACAGGCTGTGTTTCGTGTTTTTGAAGGCGGTGGGTCGTCGTTTATAACAACATGGCGTCTGTATTTTCGCGTAGATCCGTATTCGTGATACGATGTCGAAATGAATAACGATTCGTACACTGTTGAAGGAAACTCAACAGGTTGTAACTAACTCGCGAGTGTTATTTACAGAAAAATGTTAGTTCTTACCCAGCGATCGGGCGAGCTGTGCTAACGAACCTCAAATCTCTCACTTTCACTTTGTAACCCTTGCTTCCTGTACAAATTATTTCAGATTATAATCTCCCTACCGATTGCCAATCGTTTGTTTCGATTTAGTAGTGAGAATTTGGTGTCACATCAAGAGCGTGTCCTTTAGTTGGTTATTTTGTGTTTTTCTCATTGCCTGCTTGCTGAATAGTGTATGTGTTTAAGTTGTAAACATAAATTAGATGTTGATAGCTCTTGGGAAGAGTGACTTTTTCATTTGTGCACAGCACAGGTTTGTTTGCAATCAAACAGTCAAGCTCTACTATATAATTAGCTATTGAAGTCATTAATGAGATGAGGGGAGTGCTGCCAAGGGTTTGAGCAGGGATCTGATTAATGTAACATGTAACCTGCTCCACTCGGTAATATCTAAAATTTTATCATAACATACACTGTATTTCTATTATTTTTACTTGACTAGACACTTCCTCTAAATTGATTACATTGATAACAACACCCAAATTGGCCAACTGCAAGTGGATGAGAAACATTCAGCCTGTTATTGACTATTTTAGACATCCACAGCTGAACAGAAAACATTCATACACTTAACACTGCTGACAAACCCATAACAGCACACTGTACATGTTTGGAAGGTCATTAAACATTTGTAACCTCAACAAATACTTCCGCAAATGTGTAAACACAGTAATTGGAGCAGAATTCAAATGCAGTGGAACCTCTGTTAAGTGCTACCACTTTCTATGAGCAATCACCTTTCATGAGCCACCATTTTGCCAAAATACATATTTTCTCCCTGTTAAATCTTTGTATAAGTATATTTCACTTCTCTTAGTGTGTCCGTGTGTGCTTTTTTATGTCTTCCTTTGCTTTTGCACATTAATTTTATTTTTGCTTAACTATTTTGTATCCTTAACTATGATTACTTTGTGTGTCGATGACAGAATTTTTATCTTTTTTCAAGTCTTAGGTTTCTGGTAGGTAAATCCTTTACATCAGTCTTATTGACTTTCCTGGGCTTCCTTGCCTTATACATTGATATTTTAAAAATATTTTTATAGATGGCAAAAAATAAAAACAAAAAATAGAGTCACACTTGACTTTTAACCAGAATCCTTGGGGGATAATGGGCTGGCAAATACAGTCAGAACCTTAAGTAAACAAAAACCTATTTTATGTGGCCTTGATCACTTTTGGGGCAAACAGTTTGAAATTTGTATTGTTTGCAATCTGCGGTAAGCAGGATATTGAGGTGCTTGGCCTAGCGGTTAGGGCACTGGATTTGTAATTCCGAGGTGCGGGTTTCAAATCCTCCTCCCTGCTACCATATGGATTTTTGTTTGGTGGTCCTGAATTCAACCCCTCTACAGTGGTGTATATCTTGAAAATAGATCGTTTTCACTTTCATGCAATAAAAAAAAAATAAATTGAAAACCATCCAGTGGATAAAGTCAAGAAGCTGTGATGTTACAGGAAATAAATAAAGAAGACATTTTCCCAAGTTTTAGGTCTGTGCTTTTTCCCATCCTTCAGATATTCGTCGAAATGCTTGGCAGAAATTTACAGAGCCCAGCATGGAAATGCCATGTTGGTGTACCTCCATGGTACACCAATATGGCAGCTGGAAAATAGTGTAAACACCTGGTACTTACTTAAGATCTCTAGGCAAATGATTACCTGTACTGAACAAACAAGCATTTAGTACATAAACTCTTTTCCCAATGCTCAAACTTCTAGAAAGGTTAAAAATCATGAGATAAGTATATATTTTTCGACAAATGCGATTGTACAGTAGCTTTCTGTCATGCACCGCCATAACACTGAAATTCAAAATACGCTGGTTTCCAAATAAAGCACGCTATTGAACTCTAAAACTGTAAACAGATATAAATTTACCGCCTCTTATGCCCAATGAGGAGAAAACCTTTGGTGGCTCTTTAATTTTGGATTTTAGAAAATGATGACATCATGTGAAAATGATTTATAGCCACCTGGTCAGCCTCTAACCAGTTACATGTAGTTTTCAGTTCTATTTATAATATTTAGTTCTTGATTTATAGTCTTCCCAATTAGTACATCAATGTTAAATAAGAGTGGTAAATAAAGTGATTTATTTATTTAAGCAATGTGGCACATGATAGGGTCACCATACAGGGCAAATTGGGAAACAAGATGTGATTCAACTCTCATTGTAATAATGAGTGGTTACACAGTGGACATGTGACTCCTATGTTAGGACATTTATTTGTGGTATCCCATTGCTGAGCCTTTCAGTAACATGCTAATAGACCTTATCGTGGTTTTCGATACCATCTTGATGGGTAGGATAGGTCAGAAATTATGGCTAGAAGGTGCTCAGTTAATTGTTCTAATTTTCCATACATTTGTCTGTAAGTTTTTTTCCATGAAGTGTGTCTAGATGTCTGTCTACCCAGCCAAATTTTACACGCAGACAAATGCATGGAAAATTAGAAAAATTGACTGAGCGTCTTCTAGCCAAGCTTCATCCTCCAAACTTGGTGAATACAATCTTTTACCTAGTATTTTAGAGTTGCAATTCACAAATTGTGAAAAATTCGATTTTGGAAAGAGTTATTTGCCATCGGATTCCCATACAAACACTGTAATTTCTGATTGCTTTCCCCACCCGTCAAGATGGCATCAAAAACCGTGATAACGTCTATTCATCTCAAACAATGGTCAGAGAACTGCTTTTTTAATGAGGTCTGGTCATGAATAATTTGGTTGAAATAGGGTCTAATGACTCTATGTACAGTGCGGAGGTTTTATTTTAACATTTTCTACCAGAGGGCAACTGGTTTTCACAGGTGGATAAGGAAAACATTCCTCTAGATGGTCAAACCATGTAGGCAAAATCATCCTCACAGCCAGTCCATTTGGCCGGAGCCTGGCCATTAATGAAACTCCCAACAGTGTATGAATTTAGATTTAGCAAAGTTATGGATTAACCTTTTGAAAAAAATTACTAGCAATTCAGATCCCAGTGGTGTGACATACTGGTAGCCAAGGTTTTAGAATTTAGATGATCACTTATAGGTAGGATGATTGACTGGGAAACTTCTTGTTTTCCACTGCCATTTTGGTCTCTAGTCAGTTGACATGTTTAAGTACTTCATTCAGTCTGAAAGGTGACCACAGGACAAAGTGAACCATAAGCCATGCGCAAAAACACTGCCCTTAAGGAAAATTATGATTTATAGAGGGAATAGATAATAAAATGAAAGATGACACCATTTAAATGGAAGTTGATAAAGATTTGAAAAGGAGATAAATAAACATTTTTCAGGATTTCTTGGGAATTTCTTGAAAATTCCCATTAATAGTAGAAGTATCGTTTGTTCCCTCAAGTTAATTCTAATATATATATATTTTTTGTTCCCTTGAAAATATGAGAGACAGATGCTCTCCTCCTGACCAAGAACTGTTGAAAATTACAGTAACTGGAAATACTTTTTCTCTTCTTCTCTGGGCTGAATATACTTATATCAACATGCTTTTAAACTGCACACATGACAATTTTTTTTTCCTTATTGTACAAACCATGCTTTGGTTTATCAACAGATACAACTTTAGCTAGATTCCTGATGAACATTTCAGTTCACATGTAGTTGCAACATTTGTTCATAATACCTACAACGTGTATTCAATGGAGAGTACTGACATACTAATAAGTAGTCTTCATAACCACCTGTGGGCTTGTTTTTGTTTAAAACCAATTGGTTTGGTAGCCTATTTATATAGAAACATATTGATCAGAAATATTCTATACTACATGTAACGTGTATTTTAAACTTTGTTGAGCCTTATATTCATCTGAAAAATTGTCCATGTACATAAGAATATATGTACACACCCTTTTTGATAGGTTTACAGATAATACAGTATGTGCAGACACTTTGTGTTTTGTAGTAGGGCATGAATGCATTTTGCATGTTTTGGTAGAAGCTACACAAGAGAACAGTACTTTTTCCATGAATTTGTTTTTAACAGAAGAGTAAACAATCAGAATTTGGTGGTCTTAGTAGATATAATATGTCAGAGATTCTCCTGCTTAAGTGGAAAATGAACAGTAATGAAATTTGGGTACATACCTAGTAAAGAGTGCTTAAATAGTGATTGTCAAAATGGATGTCTGAATGATCAATGGTTTGAATCCAAACAGGATACAATCGCCTGAAACTCACATGGGCAAGTGGTTGAGTTATTTCCCATTAGATTTGAGACACTTAAGTGCAAATCTGATGTTTTCGAGGTTGAATCGTTGTTAAACTCATCACAAATAGATGAGCTTGAAAAATGGTGCCTAAAAGGTTAGCAGGGTGCCAAATGCAATATGCAGTAGGGTGGTATCCATGACAACCCTGGAAGTGCAATTCGCTAAATAAGAGCCATTCGCTAACTGGCACTGTCACACTAAAAGATATCAGTGGAAACAACTTACTTGACCGAATACTTTCCTAGAA